TGCCTATTTCGGTCTGAGCAAATCACGACACAATCCGGCTGCCACGGCAGATACTGAAACCGAGGAAAGCAGCACGTCTGCCAAACACCCGGGTTCATTCGCTCCGGAAGACATTGGGTTGGTATTTTGTCTCTTGGATTCTGTTTTCTTTTGGAGCAAATCTTTGGCACCTCTTTATATCCGTATCGCTTTTTGCTAATCTCCCTTTCTAGATTTGGCCAGCGATACCAAGTGGACGAAGGCACAGATCTGGTTGTGATCACGAATAAGCGCCAGCTACCAGAAATCCAAGCCGGAACCCAACAATGCTCGGTTTGTTTTGACGAGAAAGAAATATCCGAATTCCCACGAGCCGCAGTCACAAGGACGTGCAAACATCCGCCAAGAACTTGTCTCGAGTGTATGAAAGGGACGATTAGGGCGCAACTCGAATCGAAGCTGTGGAATGAAATTGGGTGCCCAGAGGAAGGATGCAAAGGAATTCTTCAGAACGATGACATACAGCGTTTTGCGGACGAGGAGACCAATGATCGGTATGTTGTATTACAGTTACTTACCCTTCCTTCTTTTCTGGCAGCTAACTAACTTGCCATGTCTAGATACCAAGCCTTGTCATTCCGAGGCGCTATGTCCGAGTCGGATAATTTCGTTTGGTGTACCTCGGGATGCGGCTATGGGCAGGTTCATGAGGGTGGCCTGTCGCAACCCATCGTTATCTGTCTGAAGTGCAACCATCGATCGTGCTTCCACCACAGAGTAGCGTGGCATGAGAATCTGACATGCGACGAATACGATGCACTGCAGGCCGACCCACTGAACTTTCGCAGCCGCTTCGAACTGGAGAACGAACTCGCCGAACAAGAAGCTGCTGCTCGGCGCGCCCAGGAAGAAGCTGACCGCGAGTTCGCCAAGACTCTGCTAGAGGAGGAGCAGCGGGCCATTGACCAGGAAATAATGGAACGTGAAGAGAGAGCCCAAAAAGAAAGGCAGGAGAGAGAAAGGCAAGAAAGAGAGGTGCGAGAGATAAAAGCCCGGAAGGAGAGGGAAGCCGCTGCCAAGCGGCAAGCAGAGGACCTGGCGAGTGCGACGAAGGTCAAAAGCACGACAAAGCCGTGTCCGGGATGCAAGGCGCCAATCGAGAAAAACAGCGGCTGGTAAGAGAGATCCCTTCCGAGATATCTCAGGAGATATACATGCTAACAGCTCGCCATTTGTTGCAGCGCACACATGACATGTAAGAACCTCCCCTTTTTCTATATTCTCTCTTGAACCCCTGCGCCAAACCCTACCCACAACGCTCCTGAGGGAGATCCTCAAGTGAGTGTCGCTCGAATGGAACGAACCACGAGCCCATGTCGTGCCTTCAACTTGGACATACGTTAAAAGGCTGGTAGGCGTCAAGTGCAGATACGAGTTCTGCTGGGGTTGTAATGCGAAGTGGTCTTACGGCCATAGCACCTCATGCGTAGGCCGACGTTAGTTGGTATGATGGTGCGAGTGGTATGCTTTGATGCCAAAAAGTTCGGTTACACCATTTTCTTTGGTCTTGTTTAGTGTCTCTGTCATTATCATCATTCTCCAGGCGGATTGGCTGATACTTTCTTTCACGCAGGCTTGGCCTGCAAACATGAATTCTGCTGGGATTGTTTGGTGGATTATGTCAAGATTCTGAATGCGGACAACAGCCTCCATTCCGCGGATTGCCCATGGAACACGGCTAATCTCCGTGACTGAGGAAGAGAGTGATGATGAACCTGGAGTTGAGGGTGGCAGGGACAAACATTGCGGATGCACATGCTGTGCAGACCAGTGCTCGTTTATATTTTATAGGACCAGTCGGATCTGGTTGTTATATAATGCATTAGAAGAAGCCTAGTTGGTACAATGACCATAGGCAAACTGTGTCTAAAATGCCTTCGGTGCCCCTTTGAAGAAAGACTTTTCATCAAGAAGAAATTTTGTAGTTGGTGGAGTGTGCTTGCTGCTTGGGAGTATCATGGATGATGGGTAGAATTCCGTGACGGTGGGATTGATTTCTGCCCCCCTGAAAGACGAAGTGCTGAACGACAGTGGATGGCTCCCGCTTTGTTCGTGCAACTTCTAGCCACTAAATACAGCGGGTGCCTTCTACCCAGCGGCACTATCATTCTCACACAAGTGGTGATGCGAGTTTAGCCAATCAGGCTACCTAAACCTTAAGTGTCAGGCCCCACAACACAAATTCCGTCAGCTGCAAATCTTGACTGCCATCGTTTCCTTGCAACTCCTCTTTTTTCTTCTGACATCCTCAAACGGCTCGCTACTTTGGGCTCTAGGTATAAGTCAGAGCGATCCACTCTGCCTTTCTTTTGCAACATCATACCATGATCCCGGGCACTTGATTGTCCCTGGGGAATGCCGCGAGAATGCGGATCTTCTTTATTCGTCACGGCGAGACTGTCGCGAACGTAGCCGGCGTCTAGTATGTTCCAGCAGTTCCAGCAGCAGAAGCTATTCTACATCCGAGTGCGGTTCTGACCATCTCTTAAGTGCAGGTGTCTCCGACTCGCCGCTGACAGCCCATGGCGTCCTCCAGGCCAAGCGCCTCGGAGCCCATCTTGCTGCTCGCGCGCCGACCGTTGTGCGAATCTTCTCCTCGGACCTCCAGCGCGCAGCCAACACGGCCCAGGCTGTCATTGACGCCCAAGCCCTGAAGAGCAGCGGCATCCTAGACCGAGAACCTCTCCGCCTCGTCAAGCTCCCCGATCTACGCGAGCGCGACTTCAGGTCGGCCGAGGGAAAACGTCATGGCACGCCACACCCGGACGCGGAGACGTATGCTGAGATGCATCGTCGGGCGGAGCGCTTCATCGAGACTCGCCTCGCTCCCATTCTTTGCGATGAGAAGCTAGCTAGCAAGGACGTCTCTATGGTCGTCGTCGCTCACGGGCAGTTTCTGAGCTTTCTCGTCAGGGATGTCCTGGCGCGGTTTGCTCCCAAAGAGCTCGCGCGGCTGGCGGACCACAATTGGTCTTTGTGGGGAAATACCGGCTACATGGAGGCTGTCGTCAAGGTGACTGCACCGTCCCAGCCTGCAGCTCCCGCAGAGGGAGTAAGCTCCTCGTCGCCGCCTACCAATGGCACGAGCACGAGCACGAGCACGAGCACGAACCCACCACATAAGGGATGGGCTGTCATGTCTGTGGTGAAGGTCAATGCCCAGGATCACCTCGAGGGCCTGAAAAGGACGCGGGGTGGGATCGGCAGCGCCCAGTTTGACAGCAAGCAGAAGACGTTGGACTCCTTTGTCCGGCCCAATCCGAAGAAGCGAATGTTTGAGGCACCCCCAGGGGATGGTCTCTGATCACTGACTGGTATGTTTGACGTTGTTCCTATTTTCTTCCCTGCAGGACTTTGTCATATGATGAGAGACACAAGTTCACAGACCTGTACCGAAACACACATGTGGATACAATTGTTCAACCGCTATCTGAGACACCATTTATATCCCCTTTTCCAGTCTGCATATGGTTAGAAGTCGGAAAGCTGATTATTTGAGATCAGGTCACGTAGCGTTGCGTCATCATCCGTTTACTGGCGTTTGGGCTAGACAGGTACGGATAGGACGGGTGGTCTAGATGGATAAACTGCTCAGAGCGGGATAGACACAGAGACAGCGAATAGATTTGGTAGTAGACTTTGACTGTTGCCACGTATCGTGACGCTTCCATTTTCTGTGAAATTCCATATTAGACTATCTATCTATTAGCAAAGGCAGGCAAGCGTCTTTTGTATCTACTGCCTGCTGCCTTTATTTCTATTCTAAGGCACATCGAACAAAGTGACATCCGGTTCATGGGTGATGACTGTAGATCACGTTGCCGTTCATTGACAGATTGATACGATTCACCTAATTGGACGGTTCAGTCATCGCCATCCCCAACAACCCCACCATCCTCGTCAGTCCCACCATCATCGTCGTCATCTGGCACGAGCCCCTCGGCCGCCTCAGATGGGAGCTGCCTAGGGAACCATCCATACTCGGCCAAATCGACGCTTAACTCCCCCAGTGCGCCCGTGGTGACGACGACGCCTTCTGCTTGTAGAGCTGCTGCTTGGTTGCGCGAGCCTGACGGCTGGGATCTGTTTTTCTTGGGGGTATCTGTTTAACAAAAACTGCCTTGCGTATACATAGGTGCCTAAGGGGGGGAGGGAGGGAGGGAGAGAGAGTGATGTGTAGGTAGGCAGGGAAGGTGGAACGGACTGACCTAGGAGAAATTACCCCCTTGGCGTTGATGACGCGCTGCCAGGGGACATTTGCGTGGTTGAAGCGCGCGGAGGGGTCGGAGGGGAGGTATTTTAGGCAGACGCCTACCTGGCGCGGTCTTTGAGCTTTTATGTTTTTGAACAGATTAGTTTGGTAACGGGCACTTAGTATGGGAAACGAGGTGTGGAAAGGAAAGTAATGGCCTTTTAGAGAGTAAGGTAGGTATTAAGGTGGTTCCAACGTACGAGTGCCGACGAGTCTCGCAATGTGCGCGTAGCTGGTAACTTTGCCGTTGGGGATCTCTTGCACCGCAGAGTACACGGCGTGGAAGAAGGCGGCTGCTTCGTCGGAGCGTGCCATTTCGGTGCGGCAAAATGGAGGCAATGAATGCGTGTATTGGAGTCGCTGAATCAAGTTGCTGGAATTAAGTAGATGGATCTCGTTGCGCCGTCGTTAGTTGTTCCGCCTAGTGACATAACTCGGCTGAGGCGCGCTGGAATGGGCGTGAACAGAAGTGGGAGTCACTAAAACGATACCATGCCAGGTTCTTAGTGCCTGGATAGCTGATCACTCTGAGTGGGCGGCCGCCATTGCAGCTGTCAACGCCCCTAGAAAGAAAGGGGGAAAAACAGCCAAAAAACAGCAAAGAGATACGGTGATCATTCAACAGACAAAAGAACAGTTCAGGCAAGTAACCTGAAGTCACTCAGGCAAACCAAAAGAAATATACAGCTGATAAAACTTCAAAAAGGTGTGGATGCACCCGGGATCGAACCGGGGACCTTTCACAGCAGCGCATCTGGGTCAATGCGAAGCGAAAATCATACCACTAGACCATGCACCCATGTGATTTAACTGATGTGTTGAGAGATTGGTCTGGAAAATGTGCCTAACTTGAACAGCAATTGCAGGGGTGGCTTTGTACATGTTTGCAGACGCCATAACCACCATGATGCTGGTGCATCTTTTTCATTTCTTCGTCTAATATAAGTTCTGGAACTGCCGTTTGCGAAGTCCATTTTATGTCGTTTTTTTTCATGAGTGAGGTGTCTCAAAAAAGGCTCAGCAACTTTCTGCTCTTGGCCTTCTGTCAGTGTTTATTCACCTCCCAATCCCTGGACTTCTTTAATTTCTGTGGAACTAACAACACGACTGCCTACTTGCTTTGGCACAGAGCAGAAGAAGTGTCATTCGTATGCTAGTTAGCAAGTGGTCTAACAGATATTGGCCAGGCATGAGGTCGACCTTTATCTCTATGTACGGCAAAGTCACGACGTCGCAAACAAGCACGGTATTTAAGTTGACAGTGAAACGAGTATTTCTATGGACAAGAAGTGAAGAGTCTATATATAGAACTAACTCCAGCGCATGTGCGCCGCCTACAGACATTGGGAGTAGTAGTCATTGGAGACCTTGCAGGTGAACGGGGCAGCGCAGGTCTTGCAACCGCTGAAGCCAATGCCACCACACTGGGACCATTGGGACGCAGTGCAACCGCTGGCTGAAGTTGTGGCGACGGCCGCAGAGCTGGTGGTTGATGACGTCTGAGCCTTGCTAGTGGTGGCTGTGGAAGATGTCGCTGCCCTGGTCGTTGAGGTGATCAGAGTCGTCGACGACGAGACTCGGGCGCTGCTGGTGCTGCTGCTGGCAATGCTGCTGCTGCTGGAGCCGGCGACGGGAGGAGGAGCGCCTATGAGTTTACTTTGTCAGTCTTGCCTCCCCTTATACAGAGGATTGTGCAGTACTAACCAGGGCCTGCCACAGAGGCCGTCAAGCTTCCACTCTCGATGTACACACCGGACCAGTAGTAGTCCTCGTTGGTGTCTGCATAGCCGTCGCGGGGCAGCTCCAGAACACCAACGTGCCAGTCGGCTCCATTGCTGCTGGTGCTCGCCTTGACGGGAGCCACCTTCTGGGTCAACGCATCGCTGCCGGTGGAGTGCCAGAAACCGACGGTACCGGCACCGAAGTCAATCTCGTAGGCAACGTTGTGCCAGACATTAGCCAGCCACTCAGTGCTCCACTGCGTCTGGCCACCAGTGCACCACCGCAGCAGCGGGTCCGAGATACCGGAAGCCCCTGACTGCCAGCCAGACTTGAGCTCGGTGAAGTGGCTCTCGAAGAAGGCGATCTGATGCTCCCGTGTGGTCGCCGGCGCGTTCACATCCTTGCGCATCAGGGAAAAGTGGTAGAAGACCTTGCCAGAGGCGATGGCGGCGGTGGTCTGAGGAATCAGCTCTGTCCGGCGCATGTTCTGTCCGTTCCAGTAGGCAGTCTTGTCCAGCGTAATCTTCGCGCCCTTGGTCGAGCCCGAATCGGCGGGGTTCTTGAAGTCGGGCGACAGGTTGACGTAGGCCGTTGTGGCAGACGAGCCGTGGATGTAGTACTGGTACGGTCCGACCTGGTTGCCCCATGACCACTTGTCCAGGTCGCTCGACGACGTGAAGTCGTTGAAGCGGCCATCCCAGAGGATCGTCCCGGCGACGGTGATGACGTGCACGGCCAGGCCGAAGAGAGCTGCTGCGGACTTCATTTTGGCAGTAACCGGATGTGGTGGGATGAGTGATCTGGAAAGGTGCTCATCTGGCATCGAAGAGAGTGGTTACATCTTATACTCCTTCTCTTCCCGAAGCCATCATATCCGCAGGCCCTGACCCTCTTCCTAGCTTTCCGGACGTCATGCTGCCCCGTTGGTCATCTGCGTCCGAAATTGAGGATCGTGGCTCCACAAAGTGGCCGATCGACCGGCTCGACGCGCGGGGGGCGGATGGGTCGAGGATTGTATTTCTCGCGATGGCGGCCCGTTGCTGGAAAATACAAGGGAACGGGTTGTGCAGTGTTGCAGTCTCACGGAAGCAGAGCTATGTTTGTCCCATTCAAGCCATAGTTCAGAGTTGGAGGATGCTGGAAGGTGGGTGCGATCGGCTGGGGTCCCGATGGCTGCTGGAAATTGCGCCAATCAGGCAGCCTGAAGCATCCCAGGCGCCTGAAGCGGAGCCCTGGAGAGCTTGTTTCCATCATGAATGCGTCTGCCCTTGCAACCCCGGAATTCCATGTTGTTCCATCTCAGATATATTAAGAACCCGCAGGAACCCGGACGCACAACTTCCATCTCCAAGATTCCGTCATCTGTTGTCTGTCTGCTGGCCCTCGTGATCGGCAGCACGATCCACAGCCGGATGGAACATCCATTCAAGTGGGGGGAGGCAGGTGGAAGCGGCCAGCTTCGCCTTGGCACTCGCCAATCAGCGGCCATTCTCAGCACGACAAACTCAACATGACTTCCAGGTTGCAATTACAAAGGCGGCATGGCATTATGCTATTCTGCTTGGTCTCCATATGATCTGTTTACCCACTGAACAAGCTTGAAATCCGTTTGAATCTCGTGTAACTTGCGTCTCTGCTTAGGAAAGAGGGAGACATCATGATTTGTTGCTGCGTGCTTTGTCTCGATGTCCACCACCTACCTGTATTAGGTTTTCTCAGCCAGTGCTACTTCCTTGGCCCAACATTATCATTGTAATTCATTCAATCTTCAATCCGGTGCAATGGTTCATTGCAAGGTTAAAAGTTCAGTCCTAGTACTTCCAATCAGATATTTCTTTGACGGCGGTAGGAACAGCATGTATTGATTTCCTTGGCTCCAACAATTCATCTCGCTCCTTCTTGCATGCGTATCGAAGTACCTTTCCGAGTTGGTGATGCTCGGGCTGGAAACCAAAGACAACGATGCCTCCTTCCCAGTGAAATCCAGCCAAGTCAGGCAGACGACCCCGCCGCAAGGGCTCTAATCTATCAATTCTTCTTCTCTCGTTCCAGCATTCTTGCAGCCCTCTCCCTCCTACGACCACCATTTATGAGTTGACCTAAAGTACAATCATTCTTTGGCGCAACATGGCCTCCCACAATAAGCACGAGTTCCCCTCGTTTATTCCGTCAACCGTCGACAACCACGAAGATGTCGAGGACGATGCCACCGTTGAGCACAACCGCCAAGACCCGCAGCACGAATTCTCATCTTTCATCCGCTTAATCGAGGATGGCGGTGAGGTCTCGAATGAACGGGAGAGACACAGCATGGCCCTGATCAACCAGTCCGAATCGATTCAGATTCTCACCGAGCATGTCCGTCAGCTGGAATGCCATATCCAAGGACTTCAAGCAGAGCTTCGGAGACTCTCGAGGACGCGTGGAGAGCCTGAGCGCAGCCCCGAGAGGCAACACTGCGAGCCCGAGGAGGGGGCAGGCGAGCACACGCCCCAGAATGAGCAAGATGACGACCCTGAGAAGAAGCGGCGCAAGTCATCCACCGCCAGCGAAATTCCGTCCTCACTCAACCTCTATTATGGTACGAAGTATCTATCTGGGTGGATGGGACACCTCTTCCGCCTCTGCGAGCTCAAAAGCCGGCAAGAGCAGTTTTGCTTCACCTGCCAGAAAAAAGGAAGAACGTATCTATTTCGCACAAGTTCATCCCGGAAATCACCGGTTGTGGCCCGAATGAAGCATGTCGAAAGTAGGCCCTGGACCGACACCGTGACTGTTGCAGCCGTTAAATCGGAGCCCGACGACGGCAACCCCACCGCAGCGACGGAAGAGTTCAAGCTGCCCAATGAGTTTGGCACTTTTGGCTTCGTGGCCGAGGTTCCAGGCCCTGATGGCTCTGGGAACCGCCACGAGGAATTCAATTGGCGCCACAGCAGCCGTGACGAAGTCCGGTCTTTGACCGGCTGGGAGGATGCCAAAGCCGGGTGGTGTCTGGTCCGTGGTATCACTAGCAGGGACATTGTTGCTGTATTTTGCAAGTTCACCGCTGGTCCTTTTTGGTCCTCAAGGATTGCGCGGCTGCAGTTTCTCCAAGAGAATGAAGTGGAAAGGTTCGGCGAACGTTGGGCGGTCATGGCATATGTCTCTCTAATAAGTCTCATTGAATGGGATTGGCATGTAGGCGACTGGCTGCACCCCCCGGACCGTTCTTGGAGTCCACCGCAACCCCCAGCACCCAATCATGCAATGAACCGACCCATGAAATAATGCGTACCCCCAGCAGCCAAGTGTATTCTTCGTCGTCGTCTTCGTGGGCGGCGCATCAAATAATGCTGCCACACTTTATGGCACAGCCGCCACCTCGACCTCGTCACCGACACTAATAAAGACCGAGCAACTCATTTCAACCTTTCCCTAATTGCTGACAACCAATCCCGCATTTCCGGGGTCATTGATTTTGACTTGATGGACGGCCATAAGTTGTCGCCTTACTACGTCCCTAAATAGCCAGGCCCATTCTTTCATCAATTTTCAATTCAGCACTAGCCTAGTAGCAATTGAGACACCAGCTTTCCGGTCAGACAGTCTGAGGTTTCTTTTGTGAATTTCGCATGGCGTTGATCCTGAAGGAATTCGCCTGCCAAGTCAAGTGAGCACTTCATTAGGAAAGACTGTAGAGAGTGAGTTTCCAGGTGGCACACTTACGGTACTCGCGAGTCAGATCTTGCAGGTCTTGCAGTGCGTATACCATATCAGGATCTGATTTCACAAAGTCGGCATTCTGTTCCCCGCTCCAGTTAAGAAGTGCCAAGGGATGAACACCGTTGGTGCTCGTTCTGAACATGCCGAGCAATGTCCTGACTGCGCTCTCATCCATGGCACTGATGCAGGCGTCTGCTGGTAAAATTTGTAACACCTCGTCAACCAAGTGCGAGAAAAACTCCAGGGACTCGACTCCCAAAAAAAAGGAGGCAAATGGCGAGACACACTGCCGCCCAATCTTCTCTCTTGGGACATTTGAAGTATGCCTCAATGCCTGATATGAGTCGTTTCAACGCCCGCTCGAGAAGAATGGTG